TCTGCTGGAGCCAAGGGTTTATGGGAGAATTTCAGCTTTCAATTATAATAAACCAAAAGAACAACAAAAAGTTGCAGAAAGAAGCTTGGAAATGTGACCTGACGACTCAAAACAAAAGGCAAATAAAAAGAACCCAAAATGTGTCTATTTTTTTTTTAATTTCATGATCTTTAAGCCAATATCAGGACTTCTGGGACTTGACTCATGATTTTTGAATGGTCGAATTTGGAAAAACGTTTTTTAGCTGATATCAGCATGTCTCTTGGGATGACTGCTTTATGGACTTAAAACCATCAAACACGTGCCAATAAGCATTTGCACCTGTTCTTCTGATGTGTGTAGCATTTTGGCAATTCCTTTGACAGACAGTCAGATACTACAATGGGGTGGGTGATGACATAGAAATAGAATGACATAGGGCAATGCAAGAAAGGAAAAGGGCCAAATTTTCTTTTGACAGTTATTGAATTTCTACTGCAAATTTCTATTGAAATTCACTGTGTCATGGAAATTCTTCAAAGCCGGGAGTGTGTGTGGGAGGGAGGGGACATTTAATACACTTTGGGTGCCCAATGGATAAATAATATATAGTAGATAAGCATAATATGCCATAGATGAACCAGTAGCGCCTAATGGTTCGAGCACTGGATTGGGACTCAGGAGAGCTGGGTTCGAGTCCCAGCTATGCTGAAGACCTTGAAGTTTCCCCATATGTAAAACGGGAATAATGACACTCTCTTCCTTTGAGATCTACTGCTGAAAAAAGCATTGCATAAGAGTTAGGTTACCCCTGTCCTGAAGGAGAACTGTGTCCCGCCAATCTGCTAGTTCTCTGGGGCACTCAACGAACTAGCTAACAAAGGAGAGCTAGAGTTTTGTGCTGCACAATGACTTCATCAGAGTACCCAGCATCCTGCAAGATTGGAGCCATCATGTAGCTAGACTTTCAAAGCCATTTGATAAAGTCCATTGAAAAAAAAACTGCTAAGGAAACACAATCAGCGCAGCAGTGAGTGCATGTTTGATTGTCCATTATGGGGTTTTATACCTTCCATCTGAGGCAGAAGCAGATTGGGTGATTTGCCCAGCGTCACTCAGGAAGGAATTGAAGCCAAGTCCCAGGCAACTGTCTGTCCTTCCTCCTTCAAGTCAAGGGGAGTTTCCTGAGTGAATCCCATTCAGCGGTTGACCAAAAAGCCCTGCTATAAAACTGCAACTCACAGAACCTCTCAGAGGGGAGACAGATTGTTCACTTGGCTCATTTCCTAGCCAGCAGAAACAACAGAGTTCCTAGCAGGAGAAGGGAGGAAAGGAGAGGGGGGGATGTAACAGATATGGATCAGCTCTGTTTGCCAGGAAAAAGTTATTACTTGACGCAGGCAGGCTGGTACGTCTCTGGCAGCAGCATCCAGTAATTAAATAAAAGATTGTTGAGATGCAGCCTGTCTGGACAGTTGCCCAGGGTGGAATTGCACATGGTGTGATCAGTACTTGTGCATGAGTTTAGGAAATATAAAGCAGGCTTGCAAATTGTAAGCCCTATGGGGCAGGGACTGTGTTAGTTGTTGTATACCGGGTCCAGCACAAGGAAGCTCCAGCCGTGATTGGGTCCTGGGAGTGCTATTATATATTCAGAGGAACTGACTTCCTGCATGTATTCTTGATGTAATCCGAAGGAGCGTTTGGCCTTTACTCGTTGAAAATTGCCACGATTTGCTGAAAGGCCACACCGACACATGGTGTTTCCAAAATGAAACATGCTCTCTCCCGGGACCTTGTCAGCAGTTGACTGGGGCCCATCACTAGCTAGGACCAATGAAACTGACAAGAATCATGTCAGTTTCAGTCAGCAGCTTCCAGATTCTGTGGCAGAGGGTGGGGCCCCAGAGTTGTGGACATGGGTAGCCCAGGTGAGCTGGCAGGAAACAAGACAAGTTTCCTGTGGAACCTGTCAAACGTTTGTTTGAACCAGATATGTTTCTGTGAATCAACCTTTTCAGGGTTTCACCAGAAAATTCCCCACTAGCTGTAGTCAAAGATCTCATGCTTACACCTCACCTGCTGTACTTTTCCATCTCATCATTAACACGCTTATAGAAAACAACTCAAAAAAAGGGCTCAGAAAAATCTCAGCAGCGTGTTATTTACTTTGTCACTGGAGCAGAACTGGCTCAGTTAACAGCACCACGTGTTCTGCTTGCATGGGGCAAAACCCAGCTTTACTGGTTTCTTTTGTCACTCAGCCTTTGAACGTTGTGGTTACAGAATCTTCTTCACTTCCTTTTTTTCATTACCCTCATGAGATTTTTTTCCGTGCTCCATGCCCACGCAAACGAAAACATCCATGAGTCGAAAAAGTTCTTTGTCAATTCTTCTCCTTTGCGCTCTGTTGGGTTTGGTTTGGGGATATACTTGCAGTGCAGATTACACAACCTCCTCTACATTTGAAACTGTGGTGCAATTATTTATGCTTGTTAAATTGAAAAGTACTAATGGCTGCCATTGGCTGAATCTCTGAGCCAAAGACAATGACAGACCTAGTTAAAGTCAAGGGGTGTTCCAAGCACTCTTTCAGACTCAGTGAAAGGAGCAGTTAAGCTCCTTCACGTAGTAGAGACACCTAAAAGCAATGGAAGGACTGACCAAGACACTTGGCCAGTGAGAGCTGTGGGGTTTCCCTGATTGAAAGGCAGGGGCAAGGATTTTGGTTTTGCAGCCTGCCCGGGTGAGAAGCTTAGAGCAAAAAGTCAGCAGAGAGAAGCAGTTGCAATCATGACTTTGAGTGGAAGCAGAGAGACAGTTTCCTGAGCACAGAACCTGCTGGAGGGGCAGACCTGGGGATGTATGAACAAGGAAACTGCCTGCTGTTTGTTTCTACTGCTTTCAGGGAAGCAGGACTTTGTGGACATTCTTTGTAAATAAACAAAATTACACATAAGAACAGTCATACTGTGTCAGACCAAAGGTCCATCTAGCCCAGTCTCCTGTCTTCTGACAGTGGCCAGTGCCAGGTGCTTCAGAGGGAATGAACGGAACAGGTCATCATCAAGTGATCCATCTCCTGTTGCCCATTCCCAGCTTCTAGTACCAAAGAATATATCTGACTCCTAACAAGAACAACCCTGCAGTTTTGGCTAAGCCTTTGAGCCAAACGGACAGCAGTGCTCAAAGATGCATCTGCTGTTGCAATCTAGAACATTATTCATTGTCATTGCTCATTATCACTCTGTCTTTTGCATATTGATGACAATATTCTTGGTGCCGTAGAGGACTTGGAAATACAGACTGTCCCTAGCCCAAATTGTTTACGCTCTGAGAGAAAGAGGCAGAGAAGGGGGTAAAATGAGAAATCCAGATGTGGAAAGGATTTAAGATCTTAGGCTAGGTCTACACTGGGGGGGGGTGTTGACCTAAGATACGCAACTTCAGCTACGTGAATAGCGTAGCTGAAGTCAGCGTATCTTAGGTCGATTTACCTGGCCGTGAGGATGGCGGCGAGTTGACCGCTGCCGCTCCCCCGTCGACTCCGCTTCCGCCTCTCACCGCGGTGGAGTTCCGGAGTCGGCGGCAGAGCGATCGGGGATCGATTTTATCTAGACGCGATAAATCGATCCTTGATAGATCAATCACTACCGATCCGGTGGGTAGGGTAGACGTACCTTTACACTATGCACATGGTTAAATGCTGTGTTGAATCAGGGCCTTAGTGAGGTGGGTTTGTGTTTATTTATCTCCCTTCCTCACCTCCCTGCTTTTAATTATAAACTCACTTCTTGTAGTCTTGATGGGAAAAGTACGGATCAAAAGACTGCAAAGAAAGGAGGGTGATGGCTGGCTGAAGTGGGAAGGGCATTCCACGCATGCTTCAATAGTTACCAGTTGCTGTGGTAACCCATGTTACCCTGTGATGAGGTGTACAAACCCCACACTAGGCAAGGAGGGGTTAAGGGATTATTTTGGGCTCAGCCAGTCCAGCCCCGACACACCTACAGCAAAGGTTCCATCTACTGGTGGAGTTAAAGGACAGAATTAGGTGATTTGGATGGCAGAGCTGGAGGTGAGCAGACTGGCAGCCCACAGCTTCAGCAGAGCAGAGAGAGGGAAGCCTAAAGGCTCTGACACAGCTGCCCAAAGGGGCCACCCCTGAGGGAAGGAATGACCCACCCCAGAGACAATCAGAGAGTGACGGAGCCCTCTTTCCCCCGTCTGTGGACCCCGGACATTGGTAACTCCCGCTTACTTATTTTGGTTTGTACTTCCTCACCAATGGAAAATCTTGGACTAGGCTCCCTAGCTGGAAGGGATAACTCAGTGGTTTGAATATTAGCCTGCTACACCTAGGGTTGTGAGTTCAATCCTTGAGGGGGCCATTTAGAGATCGGGGGCAAAAAAAAAAAGTTGGGGCTTGATCCTTCTTTGAGCAGGGGGTTGGACTAGACGACCTCCTGAGGTCCCTTCTAACCCTGATATTCTATGTTCAACCCTGGGGGTGGAAGGGTATGAGAGGAAGAGGCCCAGGGAGGGCAGCCTTGGTTGCCAAACCACTGGTAGCCCAAAGGGCCCTGGGTCAGAGCCTGATGGAGTGGGAGGGCCTGGGCTTCCCTCCCTGCATCCCCCTTGGCAGTCAGGGGTTGTGTCTCTGACCACTAGGCCACGCTCCCCAACCAGATCCTGAGTGAAGACCATTACATACCCCAGTGGCAGGTTTGCATAGGAGATTCATGAGTCTTCTACAGCCACCAGGGAGGGGTTTTACGGACGGATTTGTACAGGCTTTCAGGTGCCTAACGATGCAGAAGCAACTCCCTGGGGAGTGTATATTGCAAGCCCCCCTCTATACCAGTCTGCAGACACACTCACCGGGGGGATTACACAGACAAGTGTCTAGTGAGATTTTCAACACAGCTTAGGCACCTAACTCCTACTGAAATCAATCTGCTGAATTTTGACTTCAAGGGGAGTTAGGTGCCTAGATGCTTTTGAAAAGCCCAGTAGCTGTGTAGCTGCACCTTTAGATGCCTAAATACCTTGGAAAAATCTGTCACCCCGGTACCTCTTCAGTTCCTTAGCTCAACAACAGCCGCTCATGCATTTGGGGTGAAAAGTTCCTGGTCGATAACTCATGGAGGAGAGTTATCACTTTGAGAGGCAACTGAACCAGGGCAGGAAACTACTAGATTCTAAACTCATTGGGGTGGGGATGGTCTGTTTGTTCTGTGTTTGTACAGCTCCTGGTACACTGGGGTCCTTGTTCATGGCAGAGGCGCCTACGCACTATTATTATAATTTTAATAATAATGGCAAGTGTAGTCAGGACCCTGTTCAGAATGCAGAGACTATCATTTTAAATCTTGCATTAGGTACAGGGCAGTATTTATTTGAAGGCTCTTTAGATTTTATTTGTGAAATCTCTTCTTTTAATTGGAAAAATCCAGTTAATCAGGATAACGGCTTCTCCACCAGTTTGTCCCAGTTGAAGAAGATTCAACTTTATCTTGGCTGCATTTCACACCTGCCAAAAATAAGCATTAAAATGGGTTTTTTCTTTGTCATTTTAAGGGTCAGTTGAAGATTCTCTCACTCTGGCATCTTTGTTATAAGCAAAAATCACCTTTCATCCTTTACAAAAAATTGCTCCTGGCGTGTTGAAACCATGTTCTGTTCAGCAGAGTGGAGGTAAGAGTGAAGGTCACTGATGAATATCTTTTCCTGGACCCTTTTGTCTCCTCTCTGTGTGTGACCCAAGTTCACTGTCAAAATATAAAACTCTTGTCAGAATGGGGAGTAGGAGGGTGGGCTGGACAAGTGTCCAAAGAGGAATCAGCATCTAATATGAAATATAACTGTAAATCACTTTGGAAAACAAAGGAGATGGTTTATTTGAGTTTTTAGCATTATTGGTTTTGTATTACGGTAGGGCCTGAAGTCTGCAAACAAGATCAAGGCCCATTCTGTAAGTTGCTGTACCAACCCCTACTAAAAGACAGTCTCCGGCTTGGAGTGATTACAGTCTGTATAGACAGAATGTGGGCGGGGATACAGTAGCAAAATGACTTGCTCCAAGTCACACCTGAAGTCAGTGAAAGAGCTAGGAATAGCATTCAGGTCCTTGGATTTCCCGTCCTGTGCCCTGGCCACTTGATCACGGGACATATCTAATTAGCTGTGTAATATAAGCATTGCTTTCATTTAAAGCAGGTTCTTTGGTCTACAACCTACTACTTCGGCTGTAATATCACAGGGTTAGTACAGTTTGTATTAAATAGTACGTGCAGGGCTCAGCTCTCTGTGCTAGGTACGAGCATACACGCTCCATAAACAGGACAAAGAGAGAGAAAGGGAGTGGTAATATCCCCCTTTTATAGATGGGCAAACTGAGGCACAGAGCAGCAACTTGACTTGCCCAAGGTCCCACAAGAAGTCTATGATAGATTTCCTGTGTTTCAGGGCCTTTCTCCTTCAGTCTTAGGAAAGAGAGTTGCTCTTGTTCTTCCCCGGTCCCTTCTCTTTGAATCAGTCACTGTAATTAGTACAATTAGCGGCAGCTGAAGCGTACAATATCCAGCATTTTCCAATTAATTTTCTATTGAAAACATTTTATTGCGTTTGTATTTTTTTTCCTGCCCCGTACCAATTTTAATGCAGTCCAGATGGAAGAAACATGGTGTGTGGCAAACCGCGTATTTCTATCAGGGCACTAGAGTACAGCAGCGAGAAGAGACTGGCATCTCACTTACCAAGCAAGATGAAGGCAAACTGCACTTGTCTATCCTGCCCCTGCCATTGGGCATTAAATCACACAGTTTAACCAAAGGCGGATAACGCAGATTGTAAGATCCTTTGCTCAGGGACCAAATTCTCTGCTTGCTGCAGCAGAGACAAAGTCTGTCCAGGAGAGGTTATTGTTCCCTACTTCTCAGGGCAGATCTGAGCATGTGTATAAAACTGAGAGGGGACATGATAGCAGTTTTCAGGTATCTAAAAGGGTGTCATAAGGAGGAGGGAGAAAACTTGTTCACCTTAGCCTCTAAGGTTAGAACAAGAAGCAATGGGCTTAAACTGCAGCAAGGGAGGTCTAGGTTGGACATTAGGAAAAAGTTCCTAACTGTCAGGGTGGTTAAACACTGGAATAAATTGCCTAGGGAGGTTGTGGAATCTCCATCTCTGGAGATATTTAAGAGTAGGTTAGATAAATGTCTATCAGGGATGGTCTAGACAGTATTTGGTCCTGCCATGAGGGCAGGGGACTGGACTCGACCTCTCGAGGTCCCTTCCAGTCCTAGAATCTATGAATCTATGAATCTATAGGCTAGGGCAATCCCAGAATTGTGCTAACTTCCACCAATTGACTATGGTCCCTAAGAATAGTAGGAGCGCAGTGAATTCTGGACACACCCCCTCCTCAGTGTCACATGTCTCCTCCAATGTGGCCAACTGGAGTAATAGGGACAAGTTTCTCTGCACCAAGAGCTCCTTCATGCCAATCTCCGCTAGGTAGATTTTACTGTTCTCTGGACCTTCCGTGCCACTGAAGCAACATAAAAGGGCCAGAATGAAAAACAATTATCTGGCCCCACATCTTCATTTTATGTTTTGTACAGCGCCAAGCACACTTGGTATCATTCAGTCTATAACAGGAGCAGCATTATGCAGACAGACACCATATGGGCTGATCCAGCTCCAATTTAGGCTGCCCTCTTCATTTCTGTCCCAAGTGGCTAAACTAAGATTCCTGGGTTGTTTGGGGTTTTTTGGGGGAGATCAGGGGGAGCGTTGGGTGTTTTTAATAAACATTTTAAATCTCTTAATCCGCACTGTGTGCAATGAAGTAAATGGGACTCTGACTCAGTGGCCTTCTCTGATATTTTTAGTAAAGTGGGTCAACATTTTCCAAACAAGTGTTTTCCATCCAAAAATGGCATTTTTAACTGAACACTTGTGTGGAAGGTTGTCAGGTTTTGACATTTTTAATCAAATGTGTCAATTTTTTAATCACAATTTTATTTGTTTTTTCCCCTCTTCTCCCCCACCATTCATTTTTGACAATCAAATATTTTTTCTTCAAAATGTTTCATTAACCACCTGCCCACCCTAAAATACCAATACAAAAGGAAAAATGGAGCCCGTCATTTTGAGCTGATCTGCAAAATATTTTGTTTCATTTTTCAGTCTCTATATTTTAATATATTCAGTCATCCTCAGTTGATTCCATGAGAGACTGCTGTATCTCTCATGGACATGAGATGTATAGGGTATTTCACGAAGCTATTCCATAGAGCAAATCTTGAGAAGATAGAGAAATCATATTGTACTGAACGCATTGCAAAAATCTGGCATGAAGGCATTAAAGCAGTTTCTAAATTGTAAACTCTTTTGAACAGGTACAGACTTTTTAATTTTTTGTAGCAACTAGTGCAATGGGGTTATCAAGGCTGATTCGCACTCTGGCACTTTGAGTGCAGAAGGTGAGGGCCCGCAAGGATTGTAATACTGGCTACTGCAGGCTGATATTAAACCCCCTAGGTTACAGCTTCTCTCTGACCTTAGCTTGGTAAACGCTGCCACCACCCAAATGCAAAACCCCTTGGACCCAGAAAGGCGCATTTGGGCACATTCAGGACCTCCCAGAGGATTCAGCGGGCCTGGGGTCTTCGGCGGCAGGGGGCCCCCGCTGCTGAATTGCCGCCGAAGACCGGGCACTTTGGAGGCGGGTCCCGGGGCGGAAGGACCCACCGCCGCGGGTCTTCGGGGCACTTCGGTGGCGGGTCCCAGAGCGGAAGGACCCCCCGCCGCCGAACTGTCGCCAAAGACCTGGAGCGGAAGAAGCTATGGGGGCCTGTGCCCCACGTGAGTTTTCCGGGGCCCCCGGAGCGAGTGAAGGACCCCGCTCCAGGGCCCCAGAAAAACTCTCGTGGGGGCCCCTGCGGAGCCTGGGGCAAATTGCCCCACTTGCCCCCCCCCTTCTGGGCGGCCCTGGGCACATTCCTTCCTGTGGGATATCCTCAAGCCCTTTCACCCGCCTCTCCGGGGAAGAGCTGAGAAAGGAAAACAAAGAAATCAGCTGTTGCCACCAGCTAACTAAAAACATGTGCACAAACCTCTTAAGACACAGAGATCCAAATCCTGTTAGTAAAAAAGGTAAATTTTATTAAAAAACAAAAAGAAAGAAAAGACATCTGGAACTTAGGCTTTTGCTAGGTTTAAAAAACCCGCTTACAAAAATTAAACATCAAGAATAACCTTCTTGAGGTCCAGCTTAAAGGTTACAAGCAACACAAAAGCATCCGGGGTTAGCACAGAGGCGTCCACATGCCATAAGGAAATAAAAGAAATAACTCTAATCGTGTCTTTCTAGACGTTTCCTAATCTACTTACACATCTGGGTAGTTCTAGGTATGATCTGATGATTTCCACAGCAGTGTCCCAGTCCTGACTCTGCTCTGTCCCCTCTTTCCAGAGAACAACAACAACAGACAAAGGGAAGGGGTGTTTTTTCCATTTTAAAAAGTTCCAGCCCTCCCATTGGCTCTTTTGGTCAGGTGCCCACTCCCTTTCCTTTACCTGGAGACTTTTTTAACCCTTTACAGGTAAAGCAAGTAGAGAACAGCTACCAGTTTATAGCTAACTGGCTGGCTGTCCATAAAAGGGAGCTCTCCCCCCCTTCATTTATCACAGGCGTCCTGGTCCATGACTAGGGTTTATAAGTGCTACCACAATACAAATAATTAATAATAATAATTCATTGAGAAATTCGCTCTTGTGCCAAATTTTGCTCAAGGAAATCTTATGGCATTTACAGAAACCATAGTATTGATGACAATGAGACTCTCTTTTGCTCCTATACTTAGCAGCACTATAATCATACACCTCTATGAAGTAGGACAGCTCAAAACCCACCCATCATTCACAATGTAAGGCCTGGTCTCCACATACTATTTGTTCCTGTATAACTATTTCAGTCAGGGGTGTGATTTCTTTTTGCTGAAATATTTGATACTGGTACCACCCCTAGGGTGAAATCAGAAAGACCAGTATAAAGCTGCCTCATACCAGCATCACTTATTCCCCCGTCCCATATAGGAATAGCTATACTGGTATAAGCACCTGTATACTGGTATAGTTAGTATGTATACAAGCCCAAAGAATTTGTTTTTAAATTCCTTGCAGCTGAGTTCTGTCTCTTCTCTACCATGAGAGTCGCTCAGGACCAACCTCAGGCGTACCTCACATCCGAAACACCCAAATATCATTGGCAGCTCGTGGGTGGTCCTACCCCTCCACCCAACCCAGCACCACTACCATCTGCCACTTTGCTGAGCCTCATTATGCCATGTAATCCTCTGATCTGCCCTTTTATACAATGACACATTTCAGTCTTGTCAGTTCTACCACAACAAAGCTCTTTCTCACGGTCGTTTCCAAAGACCGTTAGGCTGGTTATTCTACTTTTTTTATAGACTAAAATTCTACCATTTTTGGCCTGGCAATGGCTCTCCACTCATGCACATTTGAACCAATGCCAGCCAAGGGATTACAGGCATAGCTTGGTATGCGTTTTAACTCGGTCTGCGTTCATTCTATTTCCAGGCTGCTGCCGGTAAAAATAGGACACTATCTCGAAAAGAATCTGACCGGGGGAGGGAATGCAGAGCCTTTCTCCTGCAGATTGCCAATGGACATCCAGCCTGGGATCATCACTGCTCTTTGACGGCTGCCTGCTCACCTATGTGAAATGAGTTAGTGGGCTGGG